GAATGCGGGGTAAAAAAAAAAAAACAAAAAACAGAAAAAATAGTATCAGAGTGCAGAACGAAATGGCTTTGACGGAATCAAATGTTTTTTTTTGGCGTAGTTAACGTGGATTTTTCCTGGAAAAACCAAAGACTTGCTGATATGTTTTTGGACACAACGTTTATTTATTTATTTATTTATTTATTTATTTTCATCAAATTTAAAAGTAAAAATTGAGTAAAAGGTTCAGCAACCATATCGAGTGTTCCAATAAAAAATTTCTATTTTTCATCAAATCACCCGACTGGGAGGATGTTTCACAGATTGACCAGTTAGTGTAAGTTTACAGGAAGCAAGGAAGAGGTTGTCCAGGGGACAATTGGCCAGTCGTCCAGTCCCAATGATTATCTATAGCAATTTGATGAAAAATTTTAAGCATTTTCAATTTGATGAAAAGTTTAACAAATTCTCAATTTGATATTGGTTTTATGTTAACGATGGAGCGCCAAAACTAATCTTCTTTTATCAAATTTAAATTTAATAAAAGAAAAGAGTAAACCTCGGAGACGCGCATAAATGAGGTGATAGCATCTGAATGTGGGGATGAATTTCAGGCTGAAAACTACATTAAAATTGAGTTTGGATGGTAAATTTGAATAGAGATTTGAAAGGATAACAAAAAAAATAAAAATAATTTAGTTTAGTTTATATTTTATTTATAGTATGTTTACTTTTTTTTATTTTTTATAAATTGTTATCTAAATTTATGATTCAAACGTAATTTAAAATTTACGTGGGAAAAAAATAATGCTCTTTTGATTAAAATATGAGGTAAAAAAATTTAAATATTTGATAACTATTTTCAATTGTTTTACACCAAAAAAAAAAGAAAAACAAAAAACATGAATCAAACTAGAGAAAATAAAAAGAAATCTTTAAATTTTTGTTTTTTTGTTCGTTTTGTCTTTTGTTTTTTTGATTAGTGAGTTTTTTATTATTATTATATTACTACTTCCCAAACATAACCTCAATGAAAATGCCAACCAACATATAACCGGTTGAACTTAAAGCTATCATTGCAACAATTTAAAGTTTTAAAAACAAAAGTTTGAGGGACCAAATTATTTTTAAGGAATGAAATTTTTTAATTTGGGTAAATTATACTTGGTATTTTTATACTTTATAACAAATTTGACTTTGGTCCTCATACGTAAAATTGTGATAGCCAATTCCCTGTATTTCTGGTCAAGTATTAATATTCTCTTTTTATTACTCCATTATTTAAGTTTAAACATAATCTAATTATATGACAAACATGTAACAACAAAATGATGACGAGAGAAAAATTATCCCTACTTTCCACAAATATACATTTTGTCTTACATAATAAATATGTAAGAGTTATATTAAAAAATGAAAACTCAATTTAATTCGTTACAAAGTCCAAACATAGAGTTTATTTATTTATTTTTATATTTTTTGGTTTTGGTAATTTCCCTCACAAGTTATATATATATATATATATATATAAATTGTTCAGTGAAATTGGTTGTGGGCTGATATGAGAAGGTATACTATTTCAGATCAAAATATTATTTAGAGGGCTACTAATGTCCTTACATTTTACTTTGGACTCCCATTTATTTTATTATAATTTTGTCATAATATCAAATTTTAATTTTGTTCTCATCCTATCCTTCCAAGTTTAACCCTAACTCTAATCTCACCACCACTTCCACTCTCGCCGGCAGCCTTCAGCAACTAATCCACCTCCTTTATTTTCCTCCTCCAGTGAGCTTCTCGCCACAACCTATTGTTCATAGAACTATCAATGGCAACGAAGGTTAGGGTTTCGTTGGCGGCTACAGTGGAGAAGGATTGACTAATTCGTGAACTCTTTTTCGCGATCTTCATCCTCATCCTCCGGAACTTACTTTCTTTTCTCTCTCTTGTACGCGACTCTCTCTCTTCTCTCCCTCCCCCCCCTTCCCCGCGTTGATTTCTTTCACTACCTCATAAATTGGTCGATTTCTCTTCATTCGATTACACAAAGTCGAACTTGTTGAATATGTTCGATACTCCACAACCGAACATATGCTTTTTGTTCGGCTACATAGTACTGAACATCAAACTTTTACTGGTTTTCCAAACAGTGGTGAGAATCGTCGTGAAGATGAAAAGAGTTTCTTTCTAAACTGGTTATCCATTCCTCATCTTCAGCAACAACAATGTGATTCTCTACAATGCCCTTCGAACTTGGGCTCATTATACTTCCAACGTCATTACATTCCTTAAAGCATAGTTCGCATCTGTTTGATACTCCAAGAAAACAGACGGTTACTCTGCTTTTGCTGCTGCTGCTATTGCCTGAGCAGGTTCACTGGATAAGGAGGGTCGCAGAAATGGGAGGGGACCACCAGAGGAGGAAAGAATGAGTTGCATGTGAAAGGTATAGAAGTGGGGTTCAAATCGTATATTTGAGATTATGGTAGGGGTCTAAAGAAAAATAAAGAGGGAAGCAATTTTGGTGATGAGGAGCCAAAAACGTATGGGGACCCAATAGATAGGGACCTTTAACAACCCTCATGAGAAAAATGACTAATCTGTCACACAAACAAATTTGAGAAAAATGATTTACAAAATAAAAAAATAATTTATATACAAAAAGTACATTTAAATTGCTGTGTCAATAATATTTTTAAATTATAAAGATAATAGTAGGCATTTTGATCGAAAATAAAGATATCACAAAAATGTCATATCATTTTATATGAAAATTTTATACATCACTTTTATTTGTATATTATTACTCCAAATTTAATGATCATAAAATTAATAAATAAATAAATAAATAAAGAAGAAGAAGCAATTAAACAAAGAAACTTAAAAGGAGAACCTAAAAGGATAAGCGTTTTAGCTCCAACCATAACAAATTAAAAAATTAAAACTATTCTAAAAGTGGATAGTAAAAGTCTTCTTGTCATATTTCAGTTAGGACTAATAGCATAACGTATGTTTAATTTCTAGATGAAAATGCATCCATATTTGAGCTCCAGATATTAAGGGTAATTTACAGTGTAGGAATGAATGTTTCATGGGTTGAGAAAGCTTGCAGGAGTGAGGTAAAGAAAAGCCCAAACTGGATGTGAAAGAAATCCTCCCTGGGAATGTTGAAGTGAAAAACTCAGCCAAATTTGTATGAAACATTTAAATAGAATACAAAATTTTCTAATAATGGCGATATAGTTTGCCTAAACTTCCAACATGGTATTAGGGTGGGTAGCATTCATATACTAGGAACAAAAGAAAAAGAGAGCAACAACTATACAAGAATCAAGTTTGTCTTGGGACAAAAAAAGGTAAATGATCCAATAAAATAAAATAAAAATGATGAATCGTTTTTGATTGATCACGATGCACATATCTTCAAGCTTGCAATTTATGGTGTAATGATAAGTCCAAACAGTTGCAAGTTAAGCAAAATTCTAGAGAGGAAAATGAACTATAGCAATGAAGATACTAAAGAAGGCAATACAAAAAGAAGAGTTTGGAAACATGTTGAACTTGTGAAATCTCCAAATCAGGTATTAACAAAACAAAAATAAAGAACTTCGTGAGAAGCAATTTTTAGAAACTTTTTCCAAATTTTGTACAGATGTTAGTGAAAATGGAAAAGCATGAAATTGCAATTTTTGTGAATATTGGCAAGAAACAAGATGCAATTGATAAGAAAGAATGATTCCTCACTTACCCAAAAGTAAAATTAAAAAATGAAAAAGAAGAATGTCCTCTCTAGAAAATGGTGGGCAAGCATATATGTATAATAGCAAGAGTGATTTTTTATTTTTTATTTTTATTTTTTTTTATGCAGGTTGGGTGGCATATAGCATATTTTTTTATCCACAAGATCAAGTAAAAAGAAATTAAGAAGCAAAGCAAATAAATGAAGATCAACCACAAGCTCATGTGAAGAAGAAATTCAAATGCAAGAAAACAAATTGAAGCCAAGCATATCCATAGAAATAGCCAAAAAGATTGTTGCTCTCAAGAGCACTAGAAATTAACAAGATTTCATGTTCAAGACAAAAAAAACATTTAACCTACGTCTTTACAGTGTTTAGGAAATTTTGACATCTTTAGAAAATAAAAATTTCACATTAACTAATAGGGGTGTTGGAAAAAGTGATTTCAAAATATTTCGCTAAAAAAAAAAGGATGCAGAAATGTATTAGAGTGAAGGTCTTTTGGAGTACAAAATTGAGTCTAGAGTTAATTTACTGTATGAAAAGAAAATTGAAAACCCCCTACAAGTGAGAAAATGAAAAGCCCCTAGTAATAAGATGTGAAAGAAGTCCTCAAATATGGTAGAAGTGAAAAGATCAACAAAGTTCGCTGAAAAAAACATTTAGATACAATTACAAAAATTCAATAATCATATTAGAGCGTGCGAAAAATTCTAACAAATTAAAACAAATTAAAGTAATATAAAATGTCATTATCAACAACTACTCTATACATAGACACCACTACAACAAATAGCAGAATTGGCGACTAAAGTTAGTCGTCGCCAAAAGTGTTGCTTTGGGCGACTAATCACTTTGGTCAGCGATTCATGGCTATCAGCGACTAAAATATTAGTCGCTGAATGTATAATTTCCGAAAGTGTAATTCACTATTGGCGACCATCACTTTCGTCGCTGAAACACCTGTTTTTGCCGACTAAAACTTGTTAAGTCGCCAATACCTCTGCCGACTAAGTACTGGCGACAAAATAGGCGACTAAAAAATTTAGTCGCTGAATCTAAAAAATCCACTTTTGGCTACTAAAGAGGGACTTTTGGCGACTAAAAATTTAGTCGCCAAAGGTGATTTTTGTTGTAGTGCACAAAGAAAAGAAATTTAGTGATAAAAAAAAATAAATAAATAAATAAACAAGAAGGATAAATAACAAGAAGAAGAAGAAGAAGAATAGAGGGGATCAAAAAGGAAGACGAATACTAGCAAAATTAGTGAAGGACTAGATACTGGTCTTTTCCTTTGACATCTTATGAGAAATTTTCAATTTATAGAAGATATTTTGATTTTACAAGAATAATTGAAAACTAAAAATTTAGTAATCTAGATGCATTTTCTTTTTGTTGGACACAATTTCACCTCAAACACTCACGATGTTCTTAAACCAATCTTTCCCCTTCTCTACATTAATGGAAATTCATAACATTGTATTCTCTACAAAAAAATTCATTTATGCAGTTAATTGTCCCAATTTTTGGTTGTAAAGAGGGCTTAAAATTAAAGGTTTTTCTTCACAAGAAGGTCATCAAATTCATAAAGATAACTTATGTTTGATAAAATAAAAAAAAAGGGTCACAATTAGGTTTAACATGGTGTGTTTCTCCAATTCTCCTTCACTTGAACTTTGCAGGGATGTGGATTAAATGGAAAACATCGAACAGATTGTCCATTTTAGATAGTTTCCCTGAATGAGAGAGCACTGAGAATGCATTAAACTTAGGTATGAGCACTTTAGATCTACAAAACCTAATGTGATTTTATAAATTTCTGTTAATTAAGTAGTGCTAAATCAATATTAAAACTATTTTGTCTTTTATGTAAAAATCACAAGAAAGGGAAATAGTGGAAGTGCTTTGAAAGGAAATATTTGATGTAGATGAGAGAGTAAAAAATCAATCATGAAAGTGAATATCCAAAATTCATATAGATGATGAGCAAGATATGAAAGTGCATAATAGAGAGGGTGATGAAACTGATGTACATTGACTCAAGTACTATGAGAGGCTCTCTCAGATGCGCTTAAGAGCTCATCTAAGAGATCAGCTCCTAGATCCTCAAATTCAAATACTGACATATTTGCTCCAGGCTTCACTACTATTCCTTCCTTTTCATTATTCTTCCTCCTCCTACTTGTCAGCAACTTCATTCTCATCTTGTTTCTCTCTTTCAATGCTGCAGCTGGAGAGGAAGAGGAGGTGCAGGTGGAGGAGGAAGAGGAGGACTCACCACCATTCTGACGAAGCGATTCGCGTACTCTTTCAGTAGGAAAGTTGAGGCGAGCCAATTGGCCTCGCATCACAAATGCAGCTTGGTCATAAGCCAAGGCAGCCTCCTCTGCAGTAGTAAATGTTCCAAGCCATACACGCCCTCCTTGCCTTGTTGAATCACGTATCTCAGCAGCATACTTTCCCCATGGCCGCTTCCTTACCCCTATGTACCTCTTTTCCTTTCCTGCCTCTTTTTTCGCCTTTGAAGTAAAGTCTTCTTTATCATTAAACCCCTTGCAGGAATCTGTTTCCAAAGATTTTTCCTTCACTTTCTCAGGAAAATTCTCTTCGGAGGGATTTTCATCACACGGAAGAGATTTGGTATGAAAAAGTTGCTCAGGGTCAAACCATGATGAAAATGGAGACTTAGGTGAGAAATCAAACCTAGGGTTTTGAGGAGATGAATAATCTTCCATGGATGAATTTGACAATAGGCTCAGATCTAAATTTTTAAGGCTTCAATCTCCTTAAACTTGTTGGAAAAATCGACAATAAGTGAAAGAGAGTGGAAGAATTTGAGTTTGAAACAAAGAAGATGGGATTAAATTTGTCAAAGGGGCTGGAAGGTAAGGTTCTCTTGAACACAAAACAAAGAAGAAGGTATTGCATATAATAATGTGTGGGGTGGTGGGGTTTTCGTCGTTTGTTTTTTTCTTGAAGGGAATGATGGGGTTTCTATTATTATTATTATTAAGGTTCAACTTTTTTTTCTTTTTTGTTTTTTTTTTTTTGTGGTGGACCAGTGCCCTTTTTTTTTCTTTTTCTTTTTGAAGCTTTAGCAACTATCTTTGCTAAACCATGCTCTACTTGATTACCAAGTCCTGGTCGAGTATGGGAGATTCACATTGAAAAATTTAGAAATTTCTTAGATATTGATTTGTGATTATTTATCAATTTTAAGTAGTAAATAATAATTTTAATAAAAAATAAGATAAATTGACACAACGATTTTAACGTGAAAAAATCATAATTAGAGCGCCTCCAATTATGATAAAAAACTATGGGTAAAAACCACAAAACAATCCACTTAGAAGACATAAACGAATTATAGAAGTATACTCTCAATTACCTAGCAAATCCACGCCTGAATCGATCTGACCCCTATGTGCCTCTTCCAGCCCCGTCTTCACCTTGGAATTGTCTTGCCCACCGTTTAATCTCAAAACGCTGATATCGAGTCTACGACGTGAACCACTCCAAAATCCACTAAAACTTCAGGCTCAAGTTCTACGGAATCCATCAAAGAACAACACTCTCTTTTGTATTAAATGAAACAAATAATCCTTTGATGTATAGTTTTCAAACCAGATTTAAACTCAAACAAACATCAAAGAAACTACCAAAAGAAACTTCAACTATAAACCCTAATATCCAAGAAGAAGATTTGGAAGCCGTAACTCTAAACTCGAACTGAAATACATGTTTATAGAAAACAGGGCCACGATGCTCGCTTGAGCGAATGAATTCTTGCTCGAGCGAGGAGACTAAAACGCGTGTTCAAGTGTCTTCGCTCAAGCCACCAAAGTCTCGCTCGAGCGAGAGATGCAACTTCTCAATATTTTTATAGTCAACTCGATCCCCGACATAATCAGGGAAGTGGCAAACATGAAAAAATTAACTTCTGAAACATCTCTGCAAGGCACAATTCAAGTTGAATTCGCATCTAAAAACTCATAATCTCACTAAAATAAAAGTTGAACAAAATTATAACTAAAAGGAGTTTTGTCAAACGAGATTGTCAAAAATAAAAATCTAACAATATTAAGCACATTTGGGAAATAATGCAAGGCCGCGAGGTCTAGTTATGTAAAACTTATCTAATTAAGCACGGATCACCATATTAACCAAGCTGTGTTTTCTGTTCATGCTGATAAGTAGACCACCCAGAACAGTTGACCCACTTTAACCATTTGACCCACTTTGGTGTATTATATTAGTTTGTAATGAAGATGTTATCTTGGAATGTTAAGGGGTTGGGTAGGTCTTGTAAGAGAAAGAAGATTAAAGAGCTAGTTAGAGTAAGGGGTACGGATATGGTATTGCTACAAGAAACCAAGAAATCTGGGATATCAGACCAATTTGTGAAATTCTTGTGTCCGTGGGATCGGTTTAGTTTTTTGTCTGTAGATGCAGTAGGGAGTGCTGGAGGCCTTCTTTGTATTTGGAAACCTGAGGTATTTGCCATGGTTGATTGCTTCTGTAACAGAAGTTTCCTTCTATTATCAAGTATTTTCTGTAAGTCCTTTAATTGTGTGGTGGTTAATGTGTATGGGCCAAATGATGTTGCAAGGAGGAGGCTTCTGTGGGAGGTGCTGGGGAACCTTAGGCATTCTTTTCTTTTTCCATGGTGTTTGGGGGTGGGGGATTTCAATGAAATCCATTCCATTGGTGAGAGAAAATGATGCTTAAGGAGAGATAGGGGGATGAAAGGCTTCGGGGAATTTATTGAAAAAATGGAACTTACTGATATTCCAATGTTGGGTAGGAAGTATACGTGGAGCAATTATGTTGAGGGTGATAGGTGGAGTAGGTTAGATAGATTTCTCATCAATCCTGAGTGGTTATAGCTCTTTGATTTTAAAGTCTAGGGTCTACCTAGAATCTTATCTGATCACTGTCCAATCCTACTTATGGAGGACCAAAGAGATTGGGGTGCTAAGCCTTTTAAATTTTTTAATTCTTGGATGGGTAGGTTTTGTTGTTAAAGAAAATTTTCACATTCTCAAATCCAAGCTGAATGAGTGGAACTAGGAGGTCTTTGGAATTGTTGATTCTAAAATAAAAGTAGCTGAAGCCGAGCTTCATTCTCTAGATTTGGAGGCTGATGGTACAGGTCTAAATGATTAGGAAGTTAGAAATAGAAGAAATCTCCTTGGAGAAGTTAGGAGATTGAGGAAATGAAAGAGTGGAATTGGCTTCAAAAATCTAGATTGAATTGGCCATTAAAGGGTGATAAAAACACCAGATTTTTTCATGTTATGGCTAAAAGCCATCAATGTAGGAACATGTTGGATTGTATTCAGGTCAATGGAAGAGCTGTTATGCAACCTAATGAATTAAAATTGGAGGTGGTAAGGCATTTTAGGTGTTTGTTTAATGCGAGTTGGAAGCATAGGCCCAAGCTTGGTGGTACGCTAAAATCTATTAATACTGACTCTGCAGCTGATTTGGAAGTGGTGTTTACTAAATCCGAAGTGTGGGCAGCCATCAAAAGTTGTGATGGAAACAAGGCTCCAAGACCCGATGGATTTAATTTGTCTTGCATTCAGAAATGTTGGAGTATACTGAAGCAGGATTTTATGAATTTCATGTTGGAGTTTCATGAGAATGGCAGGTTGGTCAGATGTTTGAAGTGCTCTTTCTTTACTCTTGTCCCAAAGAAGTTCAATCCATCAAGTCTTTCGGATTACCGGCCTATCTATCTTATTGGGGTAGTCTACAAATTTTGGCTAAGGTATTATCTTGTAGATTGAAGAGGATATTACCTGAGGTGATTAGTGAAAATCAGTCCGCATTTTTAAGGGGAATAAATATCTTGGATGGTGTACTCATAGCAAATGAGATTGTAGATTGGCGGAAGAAGACAAAAACGAAAAGTGTCATTCTCAAGTTGGACTTTGAGAAGGCCCGTGACACAGTGAATTGGGAAATTTGTTTGATATGCTTCAAAATTTTGGTTTTGGTGCTAGATGGATTGGATCTATTAAAGCCTGTGTGACCTCTTATAGTATATCGATGTTGGTGAATGGTTCTCCTACAGCGGACTTCAATCCCCAGAAAGGATTACGGCAAGGTGATCCACTTTCACCTTTTCTATTCAATATTGTAGTAGAGGGTTTGAATGTTTTGTTCTCTAGAGCTAAGGAGCTTGGATTAGTTAGAGGTGCTACCGTTGGTCCCAATGATTTGGTTGTTTCCCATTTACAATTTGCAGATGATACTATTTTGTTTTGTGAAGCTGATTGGAGTGAACTTATCACCATTAGGAGGATTCTTAGATGCTTTGAAATTATTTCAAGACTGAAGATTAATTTTCAAAAAAATGTTGTATGTGGCGTTGGAATTTTGACCCAATTAGTTAAGGATTTTGCAAATAGATTGAATTGTTCTTATCATAATCTTTCCTTGGTTTATCTTGGCTTACCTTTGGGTGCAAACCCTCGTTGAAAATCAACTTGGAAACCTATTTTGGATAAGATCAAAGTACGGCTTACTGGCTGGAAGAGGAGAGTGATGTCGTATGCTGGTAGAGTTACCATGACCAAGTCAGCTCTGTCTATTCTTCCAATTTATTACCTTTCTTTGTTTAAGATGCTTGAGTGTGTTGCTAAGATAGTGGACAGGTTGCAAGCCTCTTTTTATGGGGAGGGTCAGATAATCAAAGAAAGGTTCATTTGGTTCGATGGGGGGAGGTTACAAAGGCTTTATACCATGGAGGGTTAGGGATCAGAAATATTAGAAAGGTGAATCTCTGTTTATTAGTAAAGTGGTGGTGGAGATTTGGGGCTGAGAAGAAGGCTCTGTGGAGGCAGTTGATTAGTAGTCATTGCAGTCACTTTAATGGATCTTTCTTACCTCTGTCTGGTGTATGTAACTTTGAGTCTAGAATCTGGAGAGATGTCATGTCTATGGCTGCTACACAGCCACTAGTGGTTACTTATTTTTTGGACAATGTCAAGCTTGTGGTTGGGGATGGTAGTACGATTCTTTTCTAGTCTGATAAGTGGATCGGTCAATCAAGCTTGGAGAATCAATTTCCCAAACTTTTTGGCTTATCTACTGAGCCTCATGGATCTTTAAAGTGGTTCATTGATGAAAAGAATGCAAATGGCAGGTGGATTTTGACTTTTAAAAGACCTCTTCGTGCTTGGGAGGAGGAGGAATTGCTTCGTTTGCTCCAGATTTTGGGTGAGGGTTCTGAACTAAGGGCTAATAGTGAGGATCATATCAGCTGGCTGTCGTCTCCTTCTGGGATTTTTCAAGTTAGATCATTGTTTGGGTGGCTTCAAGCCAATGAGGGTCATGTTCTGGAGTTATCAAAATTGGTCTGGAATAATGTAGCTCCCCCGAAAGCCAAATTTTTGCTCTGGTTGCTGTGGAGAGGTAGACTGAAGACTGCTGACTTCCTTCATCGAATCGGTGTCCTAAGGGATAATTATGTTTCTTTGTGTGTGTTCTGTAATTTTGTACTTGAAACTCTTAATCATATTTTGTTGCTTTGTCCCTTTGCTTGGAAGTTATGGTCTAGTGTAATTGATTGGTGGGGATCTAAATGGGTTTTCCCTGGCTCTGTTATTGAGCTGGTTCACTGGTGGTTTGGATTCAAGTTCAGAAAAAATGAGCTCACGATCTGGAATGTTATTCCTATTGCAGTGGTATGGTCATTATGGAGGCTTAGAAATAAGTGTATATTTAGGGGAGCTCAACCAAATTTGGAGACTTTGATTGAATTAGTTAAAGTTAGAATGGTTTACTGGGTTAAGGATCATCACATTGGTAGCATGTATTCATTTCGTGATTTCGTCTCTAATTTGGGTCTAATTAGGAGTTGCTTCTGAGATGGTGGTGTTATGTGCTGATGCTGGCAGATTGTTCCATTTGCTCGGTTCATTTTAAGGTGGTGG